ACACACACACACACACACACTGTATATATAATATGATATACACTCGCACATACACTCGTGGGTACATCGCCAAAAATGGTTCACACAATGCTCCCTCCTCTTTCTTTGCTTTCTCTCACTGGACTTTAATAAGCTTCTTTGTCTTTCTTCTCTACGATACAGGAGCTAGAGATCAAGCGAGGGGACGGAAAGCGGGGTCGATTGAGCAGCGAAGAGTTCATCTCTCTTTTCAAGGAGATCTCCACCCGGCCGGAGATCTACTTCCTTCTCGTGAGGTGAGTAAGTTGTTGTTGGATATTTTTAGCGCCATGGAATTTATTGTTAATTATAAAGAGATCATTTAGGGGGCTGGATGCTTTGACCCTGCGTGCCAGGACCAGCCCAGACGTAGTGGGTGGGGTTCAGCTGCTGTCCCAGATGATAGGCAAAATGTGCTTGGTTAAATGAACGTCCCCGTTTGGAATTCGAACTCACATGTTCTGCAGGTAAAGGCGAAGAGCATTAACCATTACACTATATACGCCGGTTTTCAACCCCCCCCCTCCTTGCATATTATGACAAGCGTCGCCTCATTACTATTTTGCCCAAAGTGTTTAGTAGTGTAATAGTTTAGTACACTTGGGATAAAATAGTTCTTAGGTTACGAAACGTTAAGCAGTGCATAGGTCCCCCATCACGTCATACCAGGATACTTGGAGGTGCCATCTCTAGCCTAGAGGCAATGATCCGCCTTGCTTAAGCCACAGAATGTCTTGATGTTATCGGTCCTCATTGTTCTTTGTCCACCCTTGACCGTTTCTTCGCTCTTTCCTTGTGTGATGAATTTACCCGATTATGTCTGACCACTGTGTTGAAAATTAGTGTGACAGGTCGGAGGTGTCGATTTTCAAAATTTTCTAAAATTGTCAGGATTTTGCTCTGGATATAAAAAAATTGTTGTGGTTCAAGGTGTATTAGTAGTATTACTCAATATGATTCGCCCATTTTGAGTTTAATGTGTTTAAGAAATGTTAAAAAATACTATATGAAGACCTCTCAGTGTTAACACTGTCTAGTCAAATGTCGCACTAGCAATGTTGGCCTGCATGAGCTCCCGTGGGTTTTTTTTGGTGGTTTTTTATATACAAAAATACTCAGTCGAAATACGCATGAGGATCCCCCCCCCCTCCTTTCCCCGATAAAAGACTTAACAAAGACCCAAAGTAAGCAAGAGTACCTAGGAAAAAAATATATAAACGAAACGGACGAACTTGTCAGACATACTTTCAAATATGTACACTCACTCACTGACGCACTCACACACACATACATGCACACACACACACACACGCACACCATAAACACATACACACATGCACACACACACACACACACACACACACACACACACACACACACACACACACACACACACTCCCACATCCCCCCCCCTCCTTTCCCCGAAAAAAGACTTAACAAA